CCACTACGTGCTTTGACGAACCCTGGGGTGAAGTTTAAGTTCGATGAGAAATGTAAAGATGCTTTTGAGACCTTACGCAGCAAGCTGATTACTTCTCCTGTACTAGCGCTTTATAATCCAAAGCGAGAAACAGAGCTACATTGTGACGCGAGTAGTGCAGGTTTCGGGGGAATATTGATGCAAAAGCAGGACGATGCGAAGTTCCATCCAATCGGTTATTTCTCCAAGCGAACAACTGCTGCTGAATCACGTTATCACAGCTTTGAGCTCGAGACCTTAGCAATCATCTACTCGCTAAGAAAATTCCGCGTTTATTTGGAAGGCATTCCATTACGCATCATAACAGATTGTAACTCGCTCACGATGACTTTGAACAAGAAGAGTGTTAATGCTAGAATTGGAAGATGGGCTATGGAGTTGGAAAACTATGTAACGGGCTACTCGCCGAAAGGTTCTTTTCCAAGTGTATCAACCTCTCCACTTAAGCGCCAAGCAAGCAAAAGAATCACTTGCATGTGAAGAGGCAAGGTTTGCTCGTGCCCGGTGAGACTCCTCAAGGCGAGTCCTTCAAAATACTACTCCGATTTCCGATCGTACCACAACCAACGCTTCCCAATATGACCCCTAGATAATGTAGTCAACGGGAACCCAAACTAAGTCAACGCACGGACTAAAAAAACTCAATTATCAGACTTTTCTCTTTTGCTCACGACAATCATGGTTGGTTATTCTTTTTTCATACACTTTGTATTCGGTTTTGAAAGGGGTTAGTTAATAGCCATCGGCTCTGCTATACCGACCGTAGTTCAAAATCAACTGTCTAATGACTTCACTTGGTTTGTCCCATTTATTACTATTCTAGAATCTTCTTATCTTCGGTGTAGGTGTGTGTGTGTGTGTTGATGCCTTCTTATTCTATTTATAAGTTACCTGGACTGATCTAACCTGTTATGCTCGGAGGGGCTGCAGCCGTATACTACCTCTCGCTGATGATGCTGTCAGTGGTGCGTGTCTCGGCTATGACGAATTTTCTCCTCGAGACAGCCACCACACGGGTACACGTTTTGATTCGGTTTTTTTAGCGGGCCCGCTTTTCTACTCGCGCGAGTGCTGCTTCGAGGCCAAACATGGGGTGATCCGGCAATTGGCGACCGGTATACAACCCCGGAAGTAGTGGTGACTTCCGATGGCCCGTAAGTGCGCTGGGGAATATCGCTAACCCGCCAACGAGACCAGGTACAAGCTGACGAGTCTTCGGACCTTCCCAGCGATCGCGTGGCATACGCGAACCCCTACACCTACCGCGACGAAACACCTTCGCTTGATATTCGGTCCTTCAAGTGAAAAGAAACGCACCAATTACAATTTTGTTTTTCTAACTTCCAACAGTCGAGTTGTGGATATTTACCTGGACCTCGAGCAGATTATTTCGTGTGTTTCACCTTTTCTCTTTTAAAGACAACTTTAGCCTATTCATATGCTACAACAAATTTTAGGTTAGGCTACATTCAACAAAATTAACAAAGGAACTCACTAGGTTTACAATAGATTTTAGGCACGCGTGGGCCAATAATAACGTTCTCAACCACTATTGTTTTTTTTTTCTAAATTTCCCGATTACTGAAATACAAGATGTTAATTTTTTTACATATTTTTCCTATGGTCGATATCTTATTAAAACTCACTATAACTATTTCGATTGGCTAAAATTCTCACAAACGATAACTTTCCACTAAGTTTTTTTTTCGGGACTACGTCCAACCACTATGCCGATCGAAACGAGAAAGAATGGTAATTGAAGATGGCCTTCTTTGCAAAGTGTTACGCAACGCGGGGATCCCTACTAATACCATTGCTTCAAAAATTTGCATATCATCATTTCATTTTTAAAACATTGGCTATACTATCTGCGATCCAAACGGAGTGGTATGTCTTGCTTCACGATCAGATTCAAATGAGTGTTTCCAATTCTCGCCACTCACAGCGCTACGATGCATAAAAAGTGCTCGAATGCAAACATCACCAAATGTATACAATTGCCTTCCCTTTGCCTTTCTTGTAGCCTGAGAAGTGGAAGATACACACTTCAAGAGAATATATTTACAGATGTTACTATTTTTTTTACGACCATTTTGTAACAATGTTACAACTATCATTACACCATTCAGCATCGCAATGGTAAGCTTATGAACCATGTGGATGCTTTGAGTCGGCTCCCCTCTGCCAGCATTGTAACTTATGATAACTCTGATCAAGTGATTTCTGCAGTCAACTCAGATGATCTCGATTTTCAACTTCAAGTAACGCAGGGCCGTGATAAAGATATTATCGAGCTAAGGGAAAGGTTAGAGAATGGACCCGTTAAGCATTTCACTCTTGAGGATGGATTGGTGTATCGCAGTAGTAGAATTGAAAAACTTCAGTTTTATATACCAAAAGAAATGAAGACACATGTTATACGCAGTGTGCATGAGAAGTTATGCCATATGGGAATAACAAAGACCCACACACAGATTCAGATGCATTATTGGTTTCCGAACATGAAAGCTGAAGTGGAGAAATATGTTAAGAATTGTGTACGTTGTATTGTTCATTCTGATCCTAATTCCGATAGTCGTGCTTTGTATAGTATTCCGAAGAAACCTGTTCCTTTCGATACCATACATATTGATCATTTTGGCCCACTACCTTCAGTTGTATCCAAGAGAAAGCACATTCTGGTAGTAGTTGACGCGTTCACGAAGTTTGTCAAATTGTACCCAGTGAACTCGACCAGTACGAAAGAAGTTTGTGTATGTCTCGATAAGTACTTTGACAGTTATAGTCGACCAAGGAGGATTGTAAGTGATCGCGGGACTTGCTTCACTTCTTTGGTATTCAGTTCATATCTCTTAGAAAATAGTATCGAACATGTGAAAGTAGCTACTGCTTCCGCTCAGGCAAATGGCCAAGTCGAACGAGTCAATCGAATTATCAAGTCGATGTTAGCTAACCTTACAGAACTTGCTCAACATTCGGATTGGTGTACGATGTTGAGGAAAGTTGAATATGCTATAAACAATTCCGTTCACTCGAGTACTGGTAAGACCCCCAGTTTCGATGTGGATGTCCTTTCGGAGTTTCTTGATGATAAGCTGAATTCAGATTCCGTGCGAGATTTAGAATCCCTACGACGTTCCGCTGCAGAATGTATCGAACGTTCTCAGAAACGCAATTCTGAATTGCATGATAAGAAACATAGGCCTCCCAGTGTATTTTCCGAAGGTGATTATGTTGTGATTCGAAATATTGATACTACTATTGGAACCAACAAAAAATTTGTTCCTAAGTTCAAAGGCCCCTATCGCATACATAAAGTTCTTCCGAATGATAGATAAGTTGTCTTAAGTTGTCTGATAGTTATGTTTGATACTGTGCATCATTGAATGTGACAATAAGATTGAGAAGGCAATACATTCTGTTTGTGTTTATGTGTGTTCAATTTCTGTGTTTTATGTGTATCTGTGTTCTCATGATCGAGCCGATCAATAGTGAGGCATGGCCGAGTTGTAGTATAATTATGTGCCTGTTATGATTAGTGTGTAATCCATTTTCTAGTTTTAAGCCAGATATTGTGTTTTATGTTTGAGTGTGTATTTTCTGTCCAGATTGTGTTCTATGTTTTGACAGTGTATTTCCGTTCTAAAAATTGAAACCACCTTTATGGGTTCATCTAGATCCGTTTTGATTTCATTCGTGTAAAAGCAAGTAAAGCGTGCGGAATAAAATGTTTAACCGTTGAGTACGCGTCGTGGTTTTTTCATCCGGAAATCCTTACACGATCATTGCTTGTTGAAAATTAAAAAAGCTTCTAAGGCTCCTCAAATTGAGGTGCCATATGTTTTAATGTAATAAATTTAATCAAATTTAAGGTTTAACCATTAAAATAATAGTACACACTAAGATTATTTTACAGATTTCTGTAAAATTTTACCGAAATCTCAACAGCTGAACGTTCGGTAAACAATTTTACAGTTTTCCTGTAATTATTTACAGATATCTGTGAAAAATTCACATATATTTGTGAAAAATTACAGGAAATCTGCGAAACCGTTTACCGAACGTTCAGCTGTTGAGATTTCAGTAAAATTTTACAGATTTCTGTAAAAATTTCTAAGTGTATAAGCTTGACCAAAATAGGTTAAATTAAAGGTACACGGCGAATGAGAACGACTCAAATTTGAGTTTAGTTCACTCATAATCGCCTCATGTTTTCCCAGGTTTTTCCAGGATTTTCCAGGGAAAAATTCGCGAATTTGAGAAAAGTAAAGATTGGATTCACTCAGTCTATTGGTACTACTCCGAGACTGAATAAAATTTTCGTCAATTTCCTCATTTTCCGGCAGATTTTTAAGGTTTTCCACAGGAAACCATGGGACAAATTTTACTCATCGCTGAGTTCCTGCACTTTTGGCGATTATGAGTGAACTAAACTCAAATTTGAGTCGTTCTCATTCGCCGTGTACCAGTGGAATTGTACAGCAGGAAAACATCATACAGGCGAATCAGCGATTGAATAGCATTTTCGCAAGTTTCATTTACCCGTTGCTTAACTAGTCAGACTCCCTCCATAAACAAATTCAAGCTACGGCAATGTAAGTCAGTAGTCATGTATAAGGTGAATGTGAACTCATCCAGGGCTGGAAAAATCTGTCACTCATCTTCGGAAGGGCCACTGCCGTCGTCCGAAAATTCCAACTAGAATCAACCCCTCGGCTCGCGTCGCGGCTTATACGAACTGTACCGTTATTACGACACTTCACTGACAGTCGTTGCTGCTAGCGGTTTCCATTCGCAAACTGTCATCCGCATCGTGTCGCTCTCACCCACACACTGCTGGCACTCCATTCTTAAAAGGCCTTTCCCATTCAATTCAACTCCCCCTCTCTGTCTGACTCACACTGACGGTGCTGTATGCGGTTCCAGTCCAGTTCGGAACGGCAGCCGTCGTCAGAAAGCAAAGTGCAAACGTCCGAGCAAGAGGTTGAATCTCTCTGCCCGTGCATTTACCGCTTTGTGTAGTAGGGAACAGCTCTACAGTACTTTGGAGGAAGAAAAAAAAAGGTTTTGTATTTTCTACTGTTGGGTGTGATTGGGCGTACGTTTCGATTCGAATTTCCCGTTCGTTGATTGTTGCAAGTTATCGCGCGAGTGGAGTGGCGAATGACGGTCTTTTCGCTGCACGGAAATTGAGGGTGGAAACCTTTTCCTCGACCGACTGTCGGACGGTGAAAAAATCAGTGCTGGAAGATATACCCTGCCGTTTCTCCTCCTACGTTCGTCGCGTCCACGGTTCGATTCCCGTTTCAGGCCGAGTCCGAGAAGGAAAAGAGGAGTGGTTACGGTGGTGTGTGTCATCGCGTTGTTCGCATACAGCGATCGCGGTGGGATTCGTGTGCGACTTAGCGCGCCGTGGATGTGTGCGTGTTGGATTGTGTACTACCCACTTGAATGTGTGCATTTTTTGTATGAGATTTTCTGATTAATCAGAAGGGAAATTTAGCCGTATCGCTGCAAGTTCGGAATCGGAACGTCGTCGACGTCGGTGTGGCAGGAAAATCGGAATAAATTCTCGGCGACGGTCGCCGGTTGCTGGTGCGGATTTAGGTTGTAATTAGAAAATGTTTTTCGTCTTTTCCAGGAGGATTCAGTAGGTTTTGATGCAAGTTTTCGGTAGGAAATAATCGGTTTTCCTGCGGTGAAAAAGTGTATTCACGCTAGTATAGTGTGTTGGTGAATATCAAAGGAGTGTTCTTTTTATTCCCTGTTCGGTCGCTCCCCAAAGTGGGAATAAGAAAAAGAAGAGATAGGTGGCAATTTGGAAAATAATGTTTTCAAACTGCGGAACCGATTGATGTGTGTTCCGGTGTTGTTGGGCGGAGCAGCTCTAGGCAGTGTTGAGGTAGTAAACCTTTTGTGGATTGGATACCGAAGTGGATGGAATCTTGGAGAACCGGAATCGGTGCCGAATGTGATTCCGGGAGTGTGCTGCTGGAATAAGAAGAAGCTGGAGTGCGAATCAAAGTGCTGCTGGTGAATATTCATCCGGAGTGTATTATTCTCTCGGCTCTTAAGTAGGAAGAAAATCAACACACCAGCAGGAAACAAACACATTTAAAATACGTATATACAAACACAGTATAGTCGAGGAAGAACCGTGGTGCGTGATATCGGTTCGGTTCTCGTGGTTTTGGATATCCTACCACCACGACACAACAACCACGGCAACAGCAATCATCATCAGCAGCATCAGCGCCGCCATCAGCAGCAGTAGCAACATCGAGCAGACAAGAACGACGTCGACGACAACGACGACGATTACGTCAAAATGGCGCATCAAATGATGCCCCAGTCGGTGAACTGCTCACTGGACGATATCGATCTGAATGCACTGAAGGTAGGTACTGCGCCCCCGCCCCCCTCTATGATCCTCGGTGATGATCGTTTCCAAGAAAAACCCACCCTGAAGCTTCCTGTCACTCAACGTTGTTTGACGTTTCTCAGAGCAGCTAACAGTAAATTAATGACCTTGAACCTTTTTCCGGATCGAGAATCCGGCCGGTTCAGCCCTTGATGGGCGACACAAAGTCAGCATGTCTGGTTCAGTGGCCTTTCTATCTAGGGGTCCGGTCTAGTCACCGGTCGCACCATTCATTGTAATTGTCATGCTTCGGTGGGCTCTTCACCATACCACCCCTTTCGGTTGGGTTGTGGGTTTTATTGTTTTGATTCTGTTTTTACATTTTCGAGTTCTCGTATGATCGTGGAACCGAATCTAATTGGAATGGAAATTAATGCTGCGGACGCTGTGATGACCGCACGCTCCGAGTCGGATGTTTTTGTTGATTTATGATATTTTTTTCGGGAAGTGTTGAGCTCTTAATTAGTTAGAGCTTCGCCGACTGGGATTCAACCCAGGCCTGCTGGGGTGAGAGATAATCACGCTTACCACTACACCACCGGCGCCGCTTGTTTGAAGTTTTGATGATCTTATTCTATTTCGCATAGTAAACGCAGCTTGTCATAAAATTAAGACATATCAACAGACAAAAATAGGAGAGTTTTCCTTCTTTCAAACATGGGCAGTTCTTTGGAGTTTTGTTGTTCGGCATTCGGCCAAATGCTCCCGGAACCAATTTGACGTTCTCGGTATCAATATTCGACGACTGTGTTAGGGAAACCACATTTTCCCATCACGGAATCTCCACGTTTTCTGATGACAAAATTACGTATTTTCGTCTGGAAAACGCACGAAATTTTTGGTTTATTCAATAGATAATAAAAAAAAAAACTGAAGTTGACTGGAGCTATTTCGTGTTAAAATTTTCCAAGCGCGAGATATGTGTGATCAATTATATAAATTCGAGATTTTTTTGCTTTTTTCTAGCGTCCTAGATAAAACCTTACCTTAATTCGAAGTGTTTCTAGTTAATTGACAAGGTCATGTGGTATTCGGTCATTGCGAGAATTTCTATGTACCACTTCAATACTGTTACGCATTTGACCACAAACGTTTGGTTGTTGTGTACATTATCAAAGATCTTTGGGGATGATGTGGCTGGCAGTAATGCGAGCAAACGTTCAATGTAAATTAACTCTCAAACATCAATAATTTATGGTGGTCCTGAAAAGAATCGTGATGGTTGAGTAATGCTGGGTGTTCAACACAGATGAGGTAGGCGACCTGTATGTTGTATGGAACGAGGGTGACGCGCTTGGCATAGATGGCCCACAGCGACTCACGAAAAGGTGAATGAACGCTCATGTGGGCTGCAGCTCGCTGCTTGCGGACAGCCTTTCATTGTGTGCTGAAGAACAATGTTCAACGCCACGCACTGAAAGCACTGCTACTGCTGCTGCTAATGACGACCGACACACACAGTGAGATTGAATAAGCACCGGATTGGATTCGATTTTGAAATCTGTGTTAGGGAAAGCGCTTTTTACAGGCGCTTCGGTGATCATTTTAATCACCATTGCATCAGTTGGACATTTCTCGAGTAACATTTGAAATGGGTCTATGTCCAAAACTTAAACAAATCGGGTTTTGTTACCATTCTTGAGCACCGCTTGATATCTACTAATCGAGAAAAATCATTAAAAATAGCACGATTTTCGAAATTTTTCAATTCAATAATAGGCCCGCACGCTAAAACGGCCAACCATTCATTTATTTCATTTCATTGATAGGCCAAGTGACGTAGAAGGGGCGATGATTGAAAATTTTCAAACCAAAGCTAGGCCCTACTGCTTGAACTGCCTCAATTTGTTTTGCATTTATTTGGCGTTGCGAAAAGGCTAAGCAAAGGGCGTACCATTTCTGATGACAAGCACAACGGCTTAACAAAAAGGGCCTATCCATTGAAAGATTTATAAAAAGGCTTATTAATTTATGAAATTATATTGTTATCGATTTTCATATAATTTTGAAAGCGGTTGAAAATCTCCTAAATAAAGAAAAAAATATATATAGGGGAATTTACGTATTCTCGTCAATCTAAGCAGCGTCCGAACTTCTATTAGCGATTTCTCAGCGTCACACACATACATGACAGGTTTGTTTGTTGACATTTATCTGCTGCTTGCTGTTCTTCCAATTCCAATCGACAGAATTGATCAAAACGGGTTGAACATGTTTTTACAACGCTCCAAACTTCTCAGGTGAGAGTGACTATTGTCGGCAGTCTCTTTTTCTTCGGCACCCTTTCCATTTGAACTGCGTGTTAACCAGCTGTTCTATTATCGGCAACTCGAAATCAGCCGTATTTTGTAGTATGTATATTTCATTTAAAGAAAAATATGGTATAACAGGAATTCACAGTCGTAAAAATGTAATCAGATTGAAGCTGAAAAGGTAAGGAATCGGCTTAATACATTCAGCGAAGAGTTTTGATGGGAAAATACAGTGAAATAAACGTTTCAATTTCGGTTGCCGAAAACAGTCAATGGGTGCCGAAGCCATAATTTACCCTATATTTTTGAAAGGTTTTCACATATTTTGGATGTTGTATACTGAGATACAGTTACTATTGTTATTGTGAATAATATAAATGCCCAAAATACTTCAATTATCTTAAATATGAATTGAATAGTGGTGGAAAAATTTAAATTTCATTTCTGGTTTGTTTAAGTTTTGGACATGGGCCTAGATTTGTATAATTTTCAATAGTGGCCTATTGATAATTAATAAAGTGTTAATTATAGCAGATTCGTAGAAAAATTTCCAATTGATTGGCTTGTTTAGAATTAAAATCCATCCGCTATTGACAGAGTGATAAGTGGTCAAAACCTGACCACTTTCGTAACGCGGTCGATTTAAGTTTTTTGAAATAGCAATTGTGAAGAGGATTTCAGGATTCGCGAAAAATACACCAAGGGAATCGAACTTGGAGGGAACAATTCCAAAGGAACTCTGCCAAGATCTTCAGGGAAATTCCAAGGATAATTCCAAGCGCATTTCGAAAAGAATTTCTGGGGAATTTGAAGGAGAATTCCAAGCATTTTACAGAAGAATTTAAATGGGACAACTCCAAGATCATTCTGAGCCAAATTTGAAGACAATCCGATGGAAGAATTGCCCCTGCGTTATGTTGTTGGCAGGGAAAGTGCATTACAAGTTTTGCTCACAAAAGCTGATGATAGGCTTTTTTTCAATTGAGGGTCGAGAATACTGGGTGATGTTCTACGGAGAATTCAAGTTAATAAAAAAAATAAAGCTTAAGTGAATTATTAGAAAAAGTTTCAAAAGATTAAGATAGTTTAAGAACGTATTTCAATATTTTTTTGGGGTGTTCTGCAGAGAATTTCTGAACTGTTATTGAAGAATTCTGAAAAGAACTCTCTTCCAAATTATTCTAAAGCAACTGCTTGAGGACATCCTATTCAAAACCCTGTACAGTTTAGAGCGAATTTTCATAGACAAATTGTGATGACTTCGAATACAAGATTGAGGAAATATGCTGCTGTCTTAGTAATGACCCATTTTATCTAGTGATCTATTCGGCTCAATCAGTTTTATGCTAAAATTTAAATGTACTAGGTGGGGTGAATAGTAACCTCCTTGACCGCCAGAATGCGTTGCTACTGCAAAAAAGGTTATAGTGCCTTGTAGTCCGTTCATATTTAGGCAGACATGCCACATTTCAGTGCGATGCTGCCTTAAAGGGTGTCCACGATGAAATTGCCACACTATGAAATCGCTCTAACTTTTTAACCGTTGGGTAGAATTTAATGAAAATTTGGGTGGATTTAGTCCATAGTGCATTATTTACATCCTGCAAGTTTTAAAGTCCTGTGATCAAAACTCGCGGAAATGGAGTCGAAAGAACAGCTCGTGCGTGATAAAATCTTGCGCATTCATCACGAAACAAGGATCTCTCGCATCGTTCCATCGCTAAAACGTTGGGAATCGCGAATTCCACGGTGTCGCGAGTGATTAAGCGGTTCGAGGAACGGTTGACCACCGATCGGAAGCCCAGAAGTGAAGGAAAAAGTATTCCGTACAACACCAAAAATCACAACCGCGTAGTTGGGGCCTTCAACCGAAATCCGAACGCCTCCGTTAGGGATGTGGCTAAGAAGCTGCACCTAAGCCGAAGTTTTGTCCAGAAGGCCAAAACTAAGGCTGGACTTCGAACGTTCAAGGTACAAAAGACCCCTAATCGCAACGAGAAGCAGAACAAGTCCGCCAAAACCCGTGCCAGGAAGTTGTACCTCAACATGCTGACGAAAGTTGAATGCTGCATCATGGACGACGAAACATATGTGAAGGCCGACTTCAAACAGATCCCCGGCAACCTGTTTTTCACGACCAAGGATAAGTTCAGCGTTCCGGAGCATGTCCGCACTCAGAAGATGTCCAAATTTGCGAAGAAATTCCTGGTTTGGCAAGCCATCTGCACGTGCGGGAAGCGGAGTGCACCTTTCGTGACCCAGGACACGATGAACGGACAGGTGTACATAAAAGAGTGCCTCCAGAAGCGGCTGCTTCCTCTCCTGAAGGCCCACAACGTCCCAACAATCTTCTGGCCGGATTTGGCCTCATGCCACTACTCCAAGGACGTGCTGAAGTGGTATGCGGACAATAAGGTCAATTTCGTGCCGAAAATGTTCAACCCTCCCAACACTCCGGAGCTCCGCCCCATCGAGAAGTACTGGGCGATTATGAAGCAGCACCTTCTTAAACGACCTAAGGTAGTGAAGACAGTCGAGGAACTGAAGAAAGTATGGGTTTACATGCAAAAAACGGTTGATTCACAGGTTGTGCAGAATCTTATGGCCGGGGTTAAGGCCAAGGTGCGGGCATTTGCGTATGGACTGTAAATAAAATACGAGTAAAATGGTAAAATGAAGTTTAATAGTTATTTCTCAATCCCTGAAAATTTGATGGCAATCGGA